GGGGGGGAAATGAACCTGTGTTCTAATAATGATAAGATGACAATATTAGGTGCTCATATACCAATGTTATGTTCTATATATAATCAATGATTGCTTGCTACAATGTATCCAGTTATAGAAAGATGGTATTAGAACAACATCCTTGGAATGTGTTGTTGTGCAGTCTGTACAGAGACTCTTCTTTTCAGGTCGAATGTAGGGATGCACCGATATATCGGCGCCGAAACATATCGGCCGAAAATGGCACTTTTGGCAGCAACTTTTCGGCGCATCCCTGCTTTCTTTTCTCCCCGCTGGAACAGAAAAGAAAGTGACAGCCGGCCGAGCGCTGCAGGACGAGAGCGCTGTGAGCGGCCGGCGTCTCTCCTCCCACACCGCTCAGCCTCCTATCACAGTCCGGCAGAGCGGTGTGGGGGCGGAGACAGCGCTGTCACAGGAGGCTGGGCTTTCCTCTCTACACCGCTCGATCAGCCTCCTGTGACAGCTGTCAGAGAGGAGAGCGGGTACACACACTCAGAGATCAGCGATCGCTGAGTGTGTGTACATAATTGAGGATATGGCATGTTAACTATATCCTCAATTATGAATGAATGGGAGTGATCTACATCACATCTACATCACCCCCATTCATTCATAATTGTAGTTATAGTAAACAAACAATGTTCTCATGTTATCAATGATCAGAAACACTCAGTATAAAGGATTCCTGTTCATTGATAACAGGGGACACAGAAAAAGACATTGAGGACTCTGTGTTCTCAATCTCTTTTTCTATTTTAAAAGGGAAATATCAGGTGTCTTTTTAGACCCCTAATATTTCCCCGAAGCCCCTAAAAGTAAAGTAAAAAATATAAATATTTAATACAAAATGAATTAATAAATAAAAATAAATATAAAAAATTAAAACGTTTATAAAAAATAAAATATATTGTAAAAAATTGAAAAAATGAAAAACAGTTTCGGTTTCGGCCTGACATTTTTTTTTATTTCGGTTTCGTTTCGGTTTTAAAATGTCCATTTCGGTGCACCTCTAGATGTAATACTGTATATTGGCCACTAGATGGAGCGGAGGAACATAGGAAATAACCATAGATAAACACCGCAGTTTTTCTTTAGATAATCAATGATTGCTTGCTACAATGTCTCCAGTTACAGAAAGATGTTATTAGAACAATGTCCTTGGAATGTATTGTTGAGCGGTCTGTTGATAGACAGTTGCCTAGAGGCGGCCATCAAAGCATATACTAAACTGGCTGTATATGACAGTTCACTGCTGCCAGGGATGCTGCTGTCACCGTTTGTTTCCTGGCGACAGACCCCTCAAAATGGGAGCTGTCCCCGGGAAATGGGGACTATTGGTAACCTTAGCGTGGGCAGAACCATTGGTGGTGTTTAGTAACAAGTCCTAGCCTGTTAATCAGTGGACAGGCAGACCTATGCCCCGCCCATTCACTTCGGCCATGACAAACTGAATCATGGGAGATGTAGTTCGCGATGGCAGATCCAGCAGCTCCTGGAAATGACGCGCCTCCTCTGCACAACTCCTCCCATGATCAGTGTCAGGATTCTGTAGCAGGAATGTATAAGGAGGAAATGCATTCATCTGATCTTGCAGCGATAAGACGTATTTAACGTACGAGTTACATACGAGGCATCAGTGTGTTCTCCTGCCATATATGTAAATGGATGCCTGTTGCCTTCAGTTGCAGGGATAATAACGACACCCCCTTCAGTGCCCCCCTAACATATGACATTGCGGGGAAGCACATAGGGAGCCAAACTGAATGTCTCCGGCTGTATGAATGTTGTACCTGAGCTCATCCAGAACCTCCTCGGAGCTGGTACCTTTGATGATGAAAACCTCCTTCATCTCATCCTGCAGCATGTTACACGAGTATCCGATGTTCTCAGCCGTCTCTGGAAAACAGTAGACATAGGCACGGCTTAACCATGCAGACCACCCGAGGTGATGCTGAACCCCCATGACTGAAAGGGGCGGGCCAGTGACAGTCAGTCTTTGGAAGAATAGTCTAGGGGATGCTGGGCGTCCTCCAGCTAGGAAATGAGGCGGAGCTCTATGGGACTTCCTGCAGCTACTAATGCACATTGTGAGAAGCTTGCAGTGTGCAGCGATATCAGAGGAAGCCATTTCAGTCCAGGAGAGGAGCCGCTACAACTGTACAAGACTGAAGGGAAGGCCGGAGGTCAGATAGAAGACTGAAGAGAAGGTTAGAGGTCAAATACAAGACTGAAGGGAAGGCCGGAGATCAGATACAAGACTGAAGGGAAGGCCGGAGGTCAGATACAAGACTGAAGGGAAGGCCGGAGGTCAGATACAAGACTGAAGGGAAGGCCGGAGGTCAGATACAATGCCGAAGGGAAGGACGCACGTCAGATACAAGCCTGAAGGGAAGGACGCAGGTCAGATACAAGACTGAAGGGAAGGACGGAGGTAAGATAGAAGACTGAAGGGAAGGACGCAGGTCAGATACAATGCTGAAGGGAAGGACGCAGGTCAAATACAAGCCTGAAGGGAAGGACGCAGGTCAGATACAAGACTGAAGGGAAGGACGCAGGTCAGATACAAGGCTGGAGGGAAGGACGCAGGTCAGATACAAGAATGAAGGGAAGGCCGGAGGTAAGATACAAGACTGAAGGGAAGGCCGCAGGTCAGATACAAGACTGAAGGGAAGGCCGGAGGTCAGATACAAGACTGAAGGGAAGGCCGGAGGTCAGATACAATGCCGAAGGGAAGGACGCACGTCAGATACAAGCCTGAAGGGAAGGACGCAGGTCAGATACAAGACTGAAGGGAAGGACGGAGGTAAGATAGAAGACTGAAGGGAAGGACGCAGGTCAGATACAATGCTGAAGGGAAGGACGCAGGTCAAATACAAGACTGAAGGGAAGGCCGGAGGTCAGATACAAGACTGAAGGGAAGGACGGAGGTCAGATACAAGACTGAAGGGAAGGACGGAGGTCAGATACAAAACTGAAGGGAAGGCCGGAGGTCAGATACAAGACTGAAGGGAAGGCCGGAGGTCAGCTTTAATTAGACAGGTGGCCCGGGAAGGTCGTCAGGACTAGGGGCTCATGCTCACATCAGAGGGATGGCCACCAATCAGACGCATACCATCATTCTCCAGCTGGGGAAAAGTCTTAGTGCCTCTCACCTTGTTTGTCCCCTGTGAGGACCCAGATCCTAATGTCGGACTTGGTCAGGATCTCGATGGTCTGGGGGACACCATCCTGGAGTTTGTCTTCTATAGCAGAGGCTCCAATTAACTGTACAGGGAAAAATGGAAGAGACGGACAGAATGTTATTGCAAAGCTTTATTAGTCAATCCCTTGTTAATGAGTGACCTAATTATGCCAACAAAATGAATCTACTCTACAAATCTGTTCAGTGTGGATCCTCTATACATTGCCTTATCCAAGGATCACCACTAGAGGGAGCGCCTTCAATTCCCCATCATCACAGCAAGCATGCAAAACGCTACATTGTAAACTACATCATAAAAAGCTTCAATGTTCGCTCACCAGGCAGGTAGGTGACACCACAGTATTCCTTAGCTATAAAAGAGAAAGTGGTGTCACCCACCTGCATTGGAGAGAAACTTTAAGTGACTGCAAAGGCATGTCGAGTCACAAGAGCTTCTTATGTTTTACCAAGTTTTCCTGGTCAGTGATCAGGCAGAAATATCAGTAAGAAGCCATGATGGGGTTAAAAGGTGATGTTGATTAAACCGCAGGGGAGATCGGCATACAGAACAGAAATGGCGGTAAGCAGAGAGGAATGCAGTTAGCGCTGGGCCTTCTGATAGGATGGCTTAGTATTCTCTGCAAACTGAACGTCATGGAAACGCCCTCTATTACATGTTTCATTGCAAAATTATATATATTTTTTTAACAATAACAAAAATACTTCAGTTAGTAACATTGTAAATGTAATGTGAAAATAAAATTGAGGAACCACTAGAGTTTTCTCAAACATAGAGGTGTACACGTATATCTACCCATATATGATTCCTTAGACTACTGCGAGTGTCACCACTAGTTGAAGGGTATTGGTTATATGTTTTTTGGACCCAATCCCAAAATCCTGTTTCTATGACAACATATCCTAGAGAAATCTTCTACCAGTAAAAGCTATAATAATGTGACACTAAACTCCGGAGTGAAATCTTAAAATACATTCAAATACCTCAACTATTAATAAAAATGTCTCTTATTTGTGTATCACTCGGCTGTAGATCCTCAAATCATCTCTGAATTGGTGCTGACACTGTCCTTCCTTCCGGAGGGAGGCTACGTCTGTTCCCCATGGCCCCTGTGTGTGTTGTAAAGTAGTCACCGCTCCAAGCTCGCTCCAGGGATGGACTACAATCTCATGTTTAGTTTACTAATTTGTATAGCGATTGTAGTCTATGACAGGAGTGAGCTTGGAGCGGTGACTACTTTACAACACACACAGGGACCATGGGGAACAAAAGTAGCCCCCCTCCAGACGGAAGGACAGTGTCAGCACCAATTCAGAGATGATTGGAGGATCTACAGGCGAGTGATACACAAATAAGATACATTTTTATTAATAGTTGAGGTACTTGAATGTATTTTTTAAGATTTAACTTCTGAGTTTAGTGTCACTTTAAATTAGGGATGCACCGATACCGACATTTCGGTATCGAGTAGCGACATTTTTTTTTCAGTATTCGCCGATACCAAATTCTGATACCGGATGTCCCATTAAAGGAGAACTATGGGGTTAGGGCTTTTCCCCATAGTTCTCCTTAGGGTAACGGGAGGACACAAATTAGCGTCCTCCCGCCACCCTAGGCTCAGTATACCGCGAGCTATAGCTCGCGGTATACTGAGACGCCGCAGCTGAAGCGGATCCCGACAATTGTGCCGGGATCCGCCCAGCTGCATGACTGACAGCTGGCTCTGCCTATCTAGAGGCAGAGCCAGCTGTACCCACCCCCTCCCCCGTCCGTTCCGCCAGTCAGCGCTGGTGGAGCGGGGAGGGGGGAATCCAGCCCCACCCCTGTCACGGCAGAGAGCTGTGACAGGATCGAGAAGTGAGCGAGCGACGGTATGTGCTCGCTCACCTCCCGATCTACTAAGCCGACCTGTGACAGTCTCATTGTCACAGGTCGGCTAGAACTATGAGGTGAGTGAAAAGCACCCCCCTCATAGTTCTCCTTTAAGGAAGCCAGGCGGCTTGTAAAGACTCACCACCCGGCATGGAGCCGGCTTTCTGACCAATCAGGAAGCCGGGCGCCGTGTAATGACGGGGTACCCGGCTTCCTGATTGGCCGGGAAGCCGGCTCCAAGCTCCCTCGTCATGAGGTGCGAGGCAGCATGAAGCCGGTTTCCCGGACAATCAGAAAGCTGGGCGCCGTGTAATGACTTGCTGCCCGGCTTCCTGATAACAGAAGTATGGGGCTAGGCATCGGAGCATTTGTACGAGTACTCGCCCAAATACTCGGCATCGATACTAGTATCGGTATCTGTGCATCCCTACTTTAAATGACATATAAGCCCCACAAAACTAATCTATGATTTCTAGACATGTAAGCTGCGGAAAAATTCGGTTTGGTTCAGTTTGGATATTTCGCTATTTCAAAATTTGGGATTCAGATCCGAAATTCAATCGGGTTCGGGTTTCCGATTCGGACGAAATCCGAATTTACGTTCGTTTCGGATAAGTTTATGAATATTCGTTGCCGATACCACAGGAAACCATATACAGATATTAATACTAAAGCTGAATCTCCCAGACCCGAATGTCATTCGGGATCCGAATTTTTGAATTGCATTCGGGATCTCCAAAATGCCATTCGGGAGCCTCAGCTTAAGTAATACATTTATATGGCTCCCAGACCCGAATGGCATTTTGGAGCTCCCGAATGCAATTAAAAAATTTGGCTTCAGCTTTAGTATTATATGTACACTGAGTGGCCAGATTATTATGACCACCTGACGTTTGTAGGCAAATTGGCTATAATTTGGCGCTGAAGTTGCTAGAGGGCCAGACCATTATAAATAGGTAAGCAGGTTGTTTACCACGACAGTAGAAGTGATTTGTTTCTGAAGATACGGGGAAACAACGCGATGTAACAGCCTTTGAACGCGGGATGATTGTTGGCGTTTGGAGCCATGGAGCGAGTATCAGCAAAACAGCAGAATTCTTTACATGTTCAAGAGGGGCTCATTGTTAAAGTGTTTAAAGACCGGACTGTCAGCCGAAAATCTGGGTCTGAACGTGCGAATTGTGGCCGTCAGCGACTAGTCAATGTTAGGGCAGAACGGGGGAGGGGCAAGACTGGTACAAGACAACAGAAGGAACAGTGCAGTGTCAGATTCTTTGCATCACCTTTCAACATCTCGTGGAGTCACGAGGCGGCCCAACGAAGTACTGATGGGTAGTCATAATAATCTGACCACTCAGTGTATATACTGTATATGGCTCCCATGTTGCCATAACGAAAATTTGTGTTCAGACCCATTCAGATGCATTAAACCGAAAAACACATCTCTTGGCCAAAAAAGTCACATGCTTGATTCAATTTAGTTTTTGAATGAAATTCAAACGGGATCCGAAATTTGGATGTGTCCGAATTTCGGAAAATTCGTCCGAGTATTGATTCGGAACGAAACGAATGTCTAATGATTTCACACTATAACATGGATAGAAAAAGACTAATGTGAACCTTCAGGTCAGTCTCGATCTCTTCATACAGCTTTGAGAGCTTCTCATCGCGGTCCTCCAGGGACGTACTGGCCTCGTGGTGCCGTTTCTTCCAGTCTGCAAAGTAGGTCTTGTCCAGATCCTTGTAAGCCAGAACCAGCGTGCGCAGGCCTTCACCGGCAAACTCCTGTGATGGGGGAAGGTGAAAGGAAGACAAAGATAAACAATTTTATAGACTGGACATTACTGATGAACGATTCACTGGTCCTCGTCAAGAGCAAAAGTGATACTTTGGTGATATATTATATGGCCCCTCAATTGGGGCTACACCGGCCTCCACTCTTCTTGGAAGGCCTTCCACAACAATTGACAGATACAGATGTTGTATGAAGAGACCTGTCTAATAGTTGACGTTTCAGTTCATCACAAGGGTCTTTTGTAGGCTTGATCTCAGGACTTGGTGAAGGCCCCTCAAGTTCCTCTGCACTGAACTAGTCAAACCACGCCCTTATGGGGCTGGCTTTGTACACAATCATGCTAAATCAGAAAAAGGCCTTCACTGAACTGTTACTACACGGTTGGAAGAGCACAATTGTCTAAAATGTCTTTGTATGATGGAGATTTAACAGAACCCCTCAATGGAAACACCTGAACTCAACAACTTTAAGTGGTGTCCACATAAGTGTAGCCATAAAGTGTAGGTTAGGTGGTGGCTGGTGGTCTGGAGTCAGCTCCTATCTCTTACATTTCAACAGTGAGATCTCCCTGCTAAAGTTCCTGACTCTGACTGACTGTTCCTGTCTACCTGGGAGTATTAGGTTTCCCCACCATCCCTTATGTACTCCAGCTCCTCCTGTTACCTTTCCTTATAATACAAAAGAAAAATAAGCAGAAATAGTGGGAGCTCTCACAATGACCACAGCGGGTGTACAGACCCGGGAACTCAGCACAGGGATGGTGGGAACGCCTCATAATGGGCACAGCAGGTGTACAGACCCGGGAACTCAGCACAGGGATGGTGGGAAACTGCCATTCTGCTCACTGACAGCGAGGTGTGAGGTTGCTGGTTCCTTAGCTCGTGAGCTTCCAGAGACCAGGGGCTAGAGTTGCTTCTCTGCCCCCAGGAGAGATGCTGGATCCTGGGGAGGACCCCGGCGGGGGCTCCCTGGAGAAGCCTGTGACTAGGCCTCAGCCTGTGGAAGATTCTGGGCCTGGCCCAAGGAGAGATGAGTCCCTGTCTGCTTTTAGACGGAGGATTGTCGGGAAGCTGACGCGGATTGATAAAGAGGAGGAGAAATTGACGGCTTTGAAAGCTGAATTTAGAAAGAAATAGCGGATTTATTCCAAAGTTTTCAGCAAGAAGAGACCAGCTCTGAGGCCTGCGCTGAGAGACGTGGAGCAAGCTTTGAGGAAGCAGAAGGAGTTGGTGAGCGCTCTGAAGGAGAGCAGCGGAGCGTTTAAAGAAAAATATAGAAATGAAGAGCGTTTCAGCAGGATATCTACGGGTCAAGCATGATAAGCTCCCAGCTTATGTTGCCCCGTGTTTGAAAATGCTTCGGCAGTGGCAAGTAACGGCAGGAGAAGTCAGATCTCTTCCAAGGAAACTTCTTGAGAAGCGGGTCATGAGATTTGCTTTTTGCGAGCCACTGGCCTTAAGGGATTGCCCAAGCCTTGTTTTGAGGGAGGGTTTGCGATTGGGATTCTTTCCAAATTAATCAATGAAGTTTAGGGATCAGGCCTGGCTCGCCTTCCAGGGGAAACAATATGTGAAGGGCAACTTGAAGTTTCTTTCTATGAGTGATCGGGGCTGCCCGAGAGTGGAGTGTGGAGGAGTGCTGGAGTCCATGGATCACTTTCTACTTCAGTGCCCTTTTAATATAGAGGTGTACAAGAGGGTGGGGAGGGCTCTGAGTATCCCCTTCCTCCCCCAGATGAGTTATGCAGAGTGGGTGTACGGGGCATTCCAGACTCGCCGGGATTATGATTTGGAAACACTTTTTCTAGTTAGTCTCGTAGTCCGTTATTTCACGTGGAGTGCACGGTGTCAGGTATCCTTGCGGAGTAAAATCCTCCCTGTCCAGGTGGTGGTGCAGGACGTTCTGGGTGAGGTCGGGAAGATTCGGGGTCTTGAGAAAGACAGGTGGCAGCAGGGGGCCTGGATAAAGGCGTGGAGGAATATCAGGACTCTGTAGCTGCTGCCTGTTGATCTCGGGGTGTGCGGCTTTTCTCTCTGTCCTTTCTTCACTCCCCTAGATTTTCAGGTCAAATACATTTTTGATAAGAGGCTACATGCATGGTGACGGTGATGTTCCTTAGTCTGGCTCTCTCGTAGGGATTATGCTGTGCGCAATTTGGTTTGCACCCAGTATTATATTTTTGATTTGTATAGTAATATTCAATTATTTTGTAAATATGTTTTATTTATTTATTATTGTTTTCTTGTATATATGTTCTTGTTTGTAAGAATTTTCAATAAACAAAATTAGCCCCTCATAATGGGTACAGCAGGAATGCAGACCCAGGAACTCAGCACAGAGATCTCTCCAGAGTGCAGGAAAGATAGAAGAAAGTGTTAGGTGGTTTACCTCCCGAGTATCTACCATAGCAATGAAATACAGAGTTTTGGTGGACACATGAGTTATAGGACTTACATTCAGATGGTCGGTGGTCACCTCCTTCAAGTCTTCACTTGAGCGCTCGAGAAGTTCGTAAACGATGGTGTCGGCCCCTTTGCAGTAAAGCGTCAGACGTCCCTCTGGGCTCCGCACTGCCAGAAGGAAATAAAGATACGGCGACACAACAATCAACTATAATTAAATAATTAAAAAGCCAACAAACATATTCAATGATTAGGGGTCAAGAGAACATTCAGAACATCCATTCATAAAAATAGCTATTAGGTATTTTTGCTTTTGTAGGAGCCTTTATGAAGAAAACGTTCTGCCCACCAAGTTGTAATCCTGTAGAAGACTCAAAAGCCTATATGGGCCCCCGCAGTGCTCGTTTCCTTGATACAACAGGACATTTCAAACTACAAGATTCGATGCAACTATAGACACATTCACTCAAAGACACTGCAATTGCAAATGGACACATAGCTTCTGGAATCTAATTTTAAGACGAGACTGAGTTTGAATACTGTGCAGAATTCTCATTGAAGACCTCCCATGAATTACATCACCCACCATAACTTTAGGTCATAGGCCTAAGCCATGGCAATCCTTTACTCACCAATCACAGACATCCTTTTGCGGTCATTGTTGAAGTCCAAAATAGCCAACAAATCGTACACTTTGGTCGTCCCCATCTCCACCACGGTGATGGTCTCTGGTGTCCGGGAGCGAAACACAAAGCCGAAGTTCCTGGCGGCGGTCACCAGAGCACCTTCGTCTGGAGACTGGGCCTGGTACACCAGTTCACCTGAGGTGGACAGATACAAGATAAGAAGTGACAGTGATGCCTCTGCTACATACAAAAGCATGAAGGGGCCACACAAAATATTCAGCCCTACCTGGCTTCTTTTCCTCAGTCATCGCCGTGTGGCACAGCGCCAGCAGCCGGAAGAACTCATGAGTGGACGGGTCACCCATCTTCACCGACTCCACCAATCGGTGATCATGAAAAAAGAACTTGGGGTCAGCCAGAGGATTGTAGGAAAAATCCACCTTTTCTGTGTACTGGAGATAAAGTCATTGTATGGGGATCAATCTCTGTTTCGTTATGTGACAGTCACACATGAGTCTTCAGAGGAACAAATATAGGAACCCCCTGATCTCTCCAACCTTCTACAATGAGCACATATCGCCCACTATGAGAAGAATCATTGTAACAATAATCTTTTCTATTACAAAAACTTCAATTTTACATTCGATAAAAGCTCTCCAGCTGGAGTGAGGAGACCATGGTTTGTATGTCCTGAGATTCAAGAATGGTTCCTTACTGAATCCAACTTCATACAGTGAAACAAAACAGTTTCATCGTTGGGGTGTCTACAGG